AAGTTTCAGCCCCGCAGCTTTTATAGGTCTTGAGATGAAAGTGCGTGGCAGACGAACACACAGACACACAGACAACCCCTCGTCAATATGCGCTTTCAGCACTTCATAGCTGCAAAAAACGCATAAAAATGAGGCCCTGGAAGCGTAAGTTAGCGAGGTTTTCTTATATGTTACAATTAGAGTGTTGTTTTTATTCTGTAATTTCACTAGGGATTCTATCAGTGCTATGTAAGTGAAAGTTAATAAGCTGCTTTGAAAGGTATCTACTGATGGTTACCTGAAGTCACCGTCCAGTAATCGTTTCAGCGCATCTTTGATATATTCATGTGATAGTTTTTTTAGTAGGCACAAATGTCCTTCAGAGCTGAAAAAATCGTCAGGTCATGCGTGGCGGAGCAAAGAAACAGCGAAGAACACTGTTTAATTATCTGTGCTGGCGGGCACGGTGCACTGTCAAGTAGCGCTATCCTCATGCTAAAAGTCGACGATTCGATTCGTGGCACTGACCGATCTTTCGATGAACAAGAAATCAAAGTAGCCAATAACCCCATTTTTGAAGCAACTCTTGAAAAAGGAAGTCTCTTGAAAGCCTTGCGACCCCTCTCACAGCGAATACGGAAGTTTTATCTCAGCTTACAAGCAGATCGATCAAAATAATAGTACGTTAAGCGCACCCTATTGGATCGGTGTTGATACCGATTACAGGCTTATCCGGAGACAGTATTTTCGATGCTGCGAGAAGAAATGTACCATCGCCGCCGGCCGAGAAAACTGCATCAGCCCATGAAACTGCTGCATCGTTATAATCAAATCGCTGAACAGTGCGTGTTTCGATGCCGCAAGACCTGAACTGCTCAAAGCTGCATTTCAAGACAATATAAAACCAAAGGAATAAACTTAATAACCCGCATATTTTAAAAAACAATTACATTTCAAAATTTAATCAACAAAATTAGCACCGACAAAATATGGCAAAAAATTTTTAGAACTTTTAACTTACTGTGTTTTATGAGAAATAATTTGCAATAACTCTTAATCGGTAAATTTCAATAACTTCTAATCGGCAAGGGTATCCCACTGTAGTCCAGGGATGACAAAGTTTGTGATGCTAAATACACACCAGGACGGCTTTCCAAGCGCTCCTGTCACGAAAACCGTTAAGCTGAATGCCTCTTCAGGAAACAAAACGAATGCTAGATTCGCCAGCAATCTAACATCAAAAAATGTAGAATCAATCAAAAAAAGAGGAAACGAAGCCAATTACAGAGCTGGAAAACCACAATAAGCAGCCACGAAAAGCACTCAGTAACTTAGATACTGCTACAAATTCTCTGAAACTTCAGTGAATCTCAAGGAGCCTCAAACAAAACTAGAAGAGTGGCCTACGGTTCTTGCACTTTTTTGCTATTTATGCGAGATTTGAAGTTATGCAAATGAATACTTTTTACAGCATACAACTGCGTAGCTTCAAAACCACGAGTCCATACGAGAAATGCAAAGATATGCGATAACTCAACGTTTCTCGAGCCTTAAATTCCAGGGGAATTATACCCACTAAGTTCCATTTTTCTAGCTTGTCGGGTGTGATAGATGGTCGGATTTTTTTTACAAAAAAATGCATGAAAGAAAGCAAACAACTGTTTTCTGCTATAACAGCAGCACAGCGAGTCTGAGTTCGATACGCCACTATCAGGAATGTTTAGCTAGACATATTGTCAAGAAATTAAAATCCCTTAGAAAAACTTATTGAGAAGTAGAATCAGGAAGATCAACACCACCATCTTCCTATACAGTATTTTTACATGCAAAAATTATAACCAGAGGCTGTGAGGCATGGCGCAGTCCTCAAATACCAATTTGAGGTTTCATCAAAAAGTAAGACGGATTAGCACAAAGCAGTACACAATCTACTTTTTCAACAACAAAGGAGCAAATCAATTCAAATGGAATCTTCCCCGGCAAAGTTATTCAAGCAGCACGCTGCTCGAAGCAGTAAGAATGTAGAGGTGAGGCTGCAGGTAGGAAATGAAACAAGCAAACCTTAGTTCATCGACGAAAATATTCAAAAACTGCTGATGCTCTTCGTGCCGCTTTCGTA